ACTCAAAAATTATAATCCATAAGAAATTTGTCCTTGTCATTCGTTATTACCAACCTAGGGAACTAAAACTGAAGAATTTTCAGTTTCACGGTTTTAACACTATAATAGGTAATAAGTTCAATGTCCAGCAAACATCTTATTGTTGTTGGTGGGCCAATAAGTGGGTAATAACATTTTGTATTTTCCCATGTGATTATCTATAAGATTCACTCTACCAATATCTTTGTTGTATTCGGATATCAAAAATGGATAGGTACTCTATCTCAACCATTGGTTTATATTGTCGATCAAAACGGTTTACAGTTAAAGACAAAAAACAGGATATTTTCCGCCAAATGTTAATAGCATAGTCATATACTTATTATCTTTCCACTGTAAGGAAGACACATCAACTCCTTCAATATTTGCTATAAATTTGAGTTTTTACATCTTTATGCTTTTTTCATCTGTATCATTAGGCAGTCTTATTCTTGGGGGAGTCCTTAAGAAGTATTCTCCATTTTTGCTATATGAACCTAATATTTAGGCAGCAATAACACCGCCTTTCTGGTGTAAATTTTCAGCTAGTCTTTTGGTTTTTTTTTTTTGTTGCGCGATTTTAACACTATTACAGGTATTAAAGACTGAAAGTGCTGGAGTGAAATGATTTAGATAAAAACAATTAATAATCAACTCATAAATTATAATCCATAAAAAATTTGTCCTTATCATTGGACAAATTTTACCTACCAACATAAACTAGGAAACATAAACTGATGAATTTTAAAAATTTTGCATTTCCAACATTATTATAGCTAATAAGTTACGGCCTAAAGATGATGGAGTGAAATAGTTTAAATGAAAAACATTCATAATCAATTCAAAAATTACAATCCATAAGAGATTTGTTCCTGTCATTGGTTAGTACCAATCTAGGGAACTAATGTTGAAGAATTTTCAGGGTTTCGCGATTTTAACACTTATAGGTAATAAGTTAAAGACTGAAAGTTATGGAGTGAAATGTTTTAGATAAAAAACATTAATAAGCAACTCATAAATTATAATCCATAAAAACTTTGTCCTTACCATTGGTTATTACCAACCTAGGAAACCAAAACTGATGAATTTACAGAATTTTGCATTTCTAACATTATTATAGATAATAAGTTACGACCTAAAGATGTTGGATTGAAATAGTTTAGATGAAAAACATTCATAATCAACTCAAAAATTATAATCCATAAAAGATTTGTCCCTATCATTGGTTATTACCAACCTAGGAAACAAAAACTGATGAATTTTCAAAATTCTGCATTTCTAACATTATAATAGATAATAAGTTACGACCTAAAGATGATGGAGTGCAATAGTTTAGATGAAACACAATCATAATGAACTCAAAAATTATAATCCATAGGAGATTTGTCCGTATCGTTGGTTGTTACCAACCTAGGGAACTAATATTGAAGAATTTTCAGGGTTTCGCAATTTTAACAATATTATAGGTAATAAATTAGACTGATAGTGATGAAGTGAAATGATTTAGATAAAAAACATTAATAATCAACTCATAAATTATAATCCATAAAGAATTTGTTCTTATCATTGGCTATTACCAACTTAGGAAACAAAAACTGATGAATTTTCAGAATTTTGCATTTCTAATATTGTTATAGATAATAAGTTACGGCCTAAAGATGGTGGAGTGAAATAGTTTAGATGAAAAACATTCATAATCAACTCAAAAATTATAATCCATAAGAGATTTGTCCTTATCATTGGTTATTACCAACCTAGGGAACTAATATTGAAGAATTTTCAGGGTTTCGCGATTTTAACACTATTATAGGTAATAAATTAAAGACTGAAAGTGATGGAGTGAAATGTTTTAGATAGAAAACATTAATAAGCAACTCATTAAATATAATTCATTAAAAATTTGCCTTATCATTGGTTATTACCAACCTAGGAAACGAAATTTGATAAATTTGCAGAATTCTGCATTTCTAACATTATTATAGATAATAAGTTACGACCTAAAGATGATGGAGTGAAATAGTTTAGATGAAAAACATTCATAATCAACTCAAAAATTATAATCCATAAGAGATTTGTCCTTATCATTGGTTATTACCAACCTAGGGAAATAATATTGAAGAATTTTCAGGGTTTTGCGATTTTAACACTATTATAGGTAACAAATTAAAGATTGAAAGTGATGGAGTGAAATGTTTTAGATAAAAAACATTAATAATCAACTCATAAATTATAATCGATAAATAGTTTGTCGTTATCATTGGTTATTACCAACCTAGGAAACAAAAACTGATAAATTTTCAAAATTTTGCATTTCTAATATTCTTATAGATAATAAGTTACGGCCTAAAGATGATGGAGTGAAATAGTTTAGATGAAAAACATTCATAATCAACTCAAAAATTATAGTCCATAAGAGATTTGTCTCTATCATTGGTTATTACCAACCTAGGGAACTAATATTGAAGAATTTTCAGAGTTTCGCGATTTTAACACTATTATAGGTAATAAATTAAAGACTGAAAGTGATGGAGTGAAATAATTTAGATAAAAAACATTAATAATGAACTCATAAATTATAATCCATAAAAAAATTGTCATTATCATTGGTTATTACCAACCTAGAAAAGAAAAACTGATGAATATACAGAATTTTACATTTCTAACATTATTATAGATATAATAAGTTATGACCTCAAGATGATGGAGTGAAATAGTTTAGATGAAAAACATTCATAATCAACTCAAAAATTATAATCCATAAGAGATTTGTCCTTATCATTGGTTATTACCAACCTAGGGAAATAATATTGAAGAATTTTCAGGGTTTCGCGATTTTAACACTATTATAGGTAACAAATTAAAGACTGAAAGTGATGGAATGAAATGTTTTAGATAAAAAACATTAATAATCAACTCATAAATTGTAATCCATAAACAATTTGTCCTTAGCATTAGTTATTACCAACCTAGGAAGCCAAAACTGATGAATTTACAAAATTCTGCATTTCTAACGTTATTATAGATAATAAGTTACGACCTAAAGATGATGGAGTGAAATGGTTTAGATGAAAAACATTCATAATCAACTCAAAAAGTATAATCCATAAGAGATTTGTCCCTGTTATTGTTTATTACAAACCTAGGGAACTAATATTGAGTAATTTTCAGGGTTTCGCGATTTTAACACTATTATAGGTAATAAATTAAAAACTGAAAGTGATGGAGTGAAATGATTTGGATAAAAAACATTAATAATCAACTCATAAATTATAATCCATAAACAATTTGTCCTTATCATTGCTTATTACCAACCTAGGAAACAAAAACTGATGAATTTCTGGACAGTCCTCAAGAAGTATTCTCCATTTTTTTGCTATATGAGCCTAATATCGGTTGCAGTAACACGGCCTTTCTGGTCTGAAGATGGCATATTCAGCTGATGATGAGNGACCTTATCATTGCTTATTACCAACCTAGGAAACAAAAACTGATGAATTTCTGGACAGTCCTCAAGAAGTATTCTCCATTTTTTTGCTATATGAGCCTAATATCGGTTGCAGTAACACGGCCTTTCTGGTCTGAAGATGGCATATTCAGCTGATGATGAGTTATATATTGCTCGAAATCGGTCCCCAGATAAAATAAGACAAAAAAGTTGTACCTATAAGATATTTTTTATTTTTTGCTTAAATTAAATGGTTGAGTTTATTAAATTTTCTTCATAAATTTATTTTACATACAACTAACATTTCAAAATTTTTTACTCGTTCGTAACTCCCATTAATACTCCATACGCTTAAAGCTTTAAAATTTCGCAAATCCACTTTGCTTACTTTCCACATATTTTCATGGAAAACTCTCCCAATGTACCACCGATAATTACCAGCATCTTGATATCCACCAGGAACTAATTTACAATACTCAGAAGGAATTAAATTCCCCTCATAAAAAAATTTCTCCATGTTAACAGTAACCCATTTCAAAACTCTAGATGAACATAATATCTAAACAAGAAATCATAACATAGTTATAATTTCGTAAATTCTTTTTACCTTAACATCATCTTTGGTTTCAAATTTTCCAACATATTCACCAATAAACGTTTGATTTTGGGAGTATATAGAACCAGGAATTAAGGTACATTTTTGAAATTTTTGTCCTATATAAAGTCCATAAGCTGCTGATACTGCATCCGGGGGGATTGAACCATCATAATCTCTCCAATAATAATCATAATCTTAATAAAATTAATTAAATTAATAAAAAATAGTTAAAATAAGAGAGAAATTTACCCGAATTAGATTGTATCACACATAAAAATATCGTTAATATAAAAATTTCAATCACAAAATTATGCTTCATGCTTCAAAAACTTTTAATACGATTTAGAAAACTGGCGTTGCTTAAAATGCAACCCGTTTTTATATACATAGGTAGACGACGATTAACTTTAAATGAAGTAAATATTTACATCTATTATTATATTTTATCTAACGTGTAATTTACGTTTTAGATCATTTCGGGGAAAATGAAATGTGGCAATAACATAAATGACGAGATATTTATAACAATTACTTAATAATTAAATTTATTAAATATAGATAATACTCAATAATCTAACTAAATTTCATTTCTATCTTTAACTATAAAAAACTTATTTTCAATTATATTATAGTTTAATTTTTTCTTGCTTTCTTTTTTTTTAACTTTAAACGGAAATCCCAATTGAACCGAAACTCACCACAATCGAATTAACCACTTTAAAAACTCCTCACCAATCCGTTCTCTCTACAACTTATTCTCTTCTGGCTTATTTAAAATGTTTTCTCTTCATTGAGGCGTCTCATAAGATTAGTACCCTCTAAGAAATTGTGGGGTAACAACTAAATTTAAGGTTTATTCATTTTATTGATTTTAAATTATTCAATGAAACGGAATTATTGAATTAAAAGATTTATATTTATACAATTATTTTGTTTTAGAGTTCCTCTTCGGAATGTTAGAAGGAAATCTGTCACTTCTGCCGTTCCAAAGATGCTTAAACCCGGTGAATTGGATAGTTCTGGCGGGTATTCTCCGGGGACTTCTATTACGTCGGTTAATTCGCTAGCCAGTTTACTCAAAGAAAAGATACAGGTAAATTTAGTTATAATTATATTAGATGCTAAGTATAATATTTTCTGGACGTTTATGAATTAGCCGAACCGATCTTGTTACATTGACTACAGAACGATTGAGAAAGATTAGAAATAACGTAATTGGGAACATTTTTTCAGAATTTTATGAAAAGAAATTTTAATTTTAAAATTGGGTTCATCGATGACCCCATAGTACTGTTATGTTGGTTAATGGCAAAGCGCTTGATTGCATAGAACTTTTAGGGATACATAAAGAACTTTATGTGAAGAACTCTGGCTAAGTCCGAAATTGAACTTAATTTCTGCAATTTGTTACTTGACAGGATGACAACATTAATCTCCCCAGTCATTTGATATTTCCATATAATATATGGAATAATATATTCATTATGGAATTATATATTCATATTATGATTTTATATTAACTAAGCCGAAAAAAAATTCTTAAATTGCTTATCATTGATAATGACATGATAGTAGGTAATAAATTAAAGGCTGAAAGTGATGGAATAACTGCTTGGGAAAAAACATTGATAATCAACCCATACACCAGAATCCATAAAAGATATTCCCTTATCATTGGTTATTACGAACTTAGAGGATTAAAACTGACGAATTTTTAGTTTTACGCCTGAAACATGATTGTAGGTAATAAATTAAAAACTGAAAGTGATACAGTGAAACTGTTGGAATAAAAAACATTAACAATCAATCCATATACGATAATCCATAAAAGATTTTTCTCCATCATTGGTTATTACCAACCTAGGGCACCAAAACTTATGAATTTTTGGAGATTTATGTTTTTGACAATTATAACTAATAACTAATAAATTAAAGACTGGAAGTGATAGAATAAAACTGCTTGGGAAAAATACATTAACCCTTTCGCTGCGCATAGCGGTTGACACGTTGCTTGATCTATGCGCGCTAAAACTTCGCTCGCGAGAATATTCGTTAGGAGCAGTTTTAAGCTTACGAATATATTCGCTTAGAAGAGCATACCGTATTTTAATATTTATTCATTATTGTTAGTACTTTTTTTTTCGATTATTAAAAATTGATTCATTTCATAGTGTTTATAGTGTTGGAAGTTAATAGGTTAAGATAAATAAACACATAAAGAAACAACTTTACAAAAATATATTTAGAAAGGCTATAAAAATNTGAATTAAAAGATTTATATTTATACAATTATTTTGTTTTAGAGTTCCTCTTCGGAATGTTAGAAGGAAATCTGTCACTTCTGCCGTTCCAAAGATGCTTAAACCCGGTGAATTGGATAGTTCTGGCGGGTATTCTCCGGGGACTTCTATTACGTCGGTTAATTCGCTAGCTAGTTTACTCAAAGAAAAGATACAGGTAAATTTAGTTATAATTATATTAGATGCTAAGTATAATATTTTCTGGACCTTTATCAATTAGTCGAACCGATCTTGTTACATTGATTGACAAATTTTAATTCAAAAAGTTTAAAAGTATCTATTAATTTTAATTTTAAAATTGGGTTCTTCAATGACCCCATGGTATTGTTAAAGTTAGTTAATGATTGCATAGAACTTTTCGGGATACGTAAAGAACATTATGTGAAGAACTGCGGCTAAGTCCGAAATTGAACTTAATTTCTGCAATTTGTTACTTGAAAAGATTTCAACATTAATCTCCCCTGTTATTTGCTATTTCCATATATGATTTTATATTAACTAAGCCTATATTCTTGTCGGATTACAGGTAGCAAACATATCGAAAAAAAATCTTAAATTGCTTATCATTGATAATTACGAAGCTATAAAATCACGTTTTTGACATAATATTACTAATAAATTAGAGGCTGAAAGTGGTGGAATAAAACTGCTTGGGTAAAACACATTAATAATCAACCCATACACTATAATTCATAAAAGATTTTTCGCCATCATTAGTTATTACCAACCTAGGGCACTAAAACTTAGAAATTTTCGGAGTTTTACGTTTTTGACATGACTATAGGTAATAAATTGAAGACTGATAGTGATGGAATAAAACTGCTTGGGAAAAAACATTAATAATCAACTCATAAACGATAATCCATAAAAGATTTTCCACCATCATTGGTTATTACCAACCTAGGGCATTAAAACTGACGAATTTTTGGAGTTTTACGTCTTGAACATGATGGTAGGTAATAAATTAAAAATTGACAGTGATATAGTGAAACTGTTATAATAAAAAACATTAACAATCAACACATAAACGATAATCCACAAAAGATTTTTCCCCATCATTGGTTATTAGGTACCAACCTAGGGCATTAAAACTGACGAATGTTTGGAATTTTACGTTTTGAACATAATTGTAGGTAATAAATTAAAAACTGAAAGTGATAGAGTGAAATTGTTGGAATAAAAAACATTAATAATCAACCCACAAACGACAATCCATAAAAGATTTTTCGCTATCATTAGTTATTACCAACCTAGGGCACTAAAACTGATGAATTTTTGGAGTTTTACGTTTTTGACATGATTATAGGTAATAAATTAAAGACCGCAAGTGATGGAATAAAACAGCTTGGTAAAAAACACTAACAATCAATCCATAGACGATAATTCATAAAAGATTTTCCCCCATTATTAGTTATTACCAACCTAGGGCATTAAAACTGACGAATTTTTGGAGTTTTACGTCTTGAACATGATTGTAGGTAATAAATTAAAAACTGAAAGTGATAGAGTGAAACTGTTGGAATAAAAAACATTAATAATCAACCCATAAACGACTATCCATAAAAGATTTTTCGCCATCATTAGTTATTACCAACCTAGGGCACTAAAACTAATAAATTTTTGGAGTTTTACGTTTTTGACATGATTATAGGTAATAAATTAAAGACTGCAAGTGATGAAATAAAACTGCTTAGTAAAAAACACTAACAATCTATCCATAAACGATAATTCATAAAAGATTTTCCCCCATGATTAGTTATTACCAACCTAGGGCATTAAAACTGACGAATTTTTGGAGTTTTACGTCTTGAACATAATTGTAGGTAATAAATTAAAAACTGAAAGTGATAGAGTGAAACTGTTGGAATAAAAAACATTAATAATCAACCCCTAAACGACAATCCATAAAAGTTTTTTCGCCATCATTAGTTATTACCAACCTAAGGCACTAAAACTGATGAATTTTTGGAGTTTTACGTTTTTGGCATGATTATAGGTAATAAATTAAAGACTGAAAGTGATTGCATAAAACTGCTTGGTAAAAAAACATTAATAATCAATCCATAAACGATAATTCATAAAAGATTTTCCCCCATCATTAGTTATTACCAACCTAGGGCATTAAAACTGACGAATTTTTGGAGTTTTATGTCTTGAACAAGATTGTAGGTAATAAATTAAAAATTTAAAGAGATAGAGTGAAACTGTTGGAATAAAAACATTAACAATCAACCCATAAACGATAATCCATAAAATGTTTTTCTCCATCATTGGTTATCAACTTAGAGCACTAAAACTTATGAATTGTTGGAGTTTTACGTTTTTGACATGATTATAGGTAATAAATTAAAACTGAAAGTGATGGAATAAAACTACTTGGAAAAAAGCATTAACAATCAACCCATAAACGGTAATCTATAAAAGATTTTTCCCCATCATTGATTATTACCAACTTTGAGCACTAAAACTTTTAAAAGGTAAAAGTTTAGTGTTTTTGACATGATTGTACGTAATAAATTAAAGAGTGAAAATGATGGTATAAAACTGCTGGGATGAAAAATATTAATAATCAACTCGTAAACTATAATCCATAACAGATTGTCGGAAATAAAAACTGATGAATTTTCAGAATTTTGCATTTCTAACATTGTTATAGGTAATAAATTACGGCCTAAAGATGATGGAGTGAAACAGTTTAGAACAACATTCATAATCAACTCAAAAATTATAATCCATAAGAAAATTGTCCCTGCCATTCGTTATTACCAACCTAGGGAACTAAAACTGAAAAATTGTAAATTAATTTAAGTAAGTTTTCCTTTTCAATTCCGATACCTTCATTTTTTACCGCTTTTATTGTTTTCTGTTTAACGTTTTTTGTTATTTTTTTTCTTTTTTCCTATATTAGGTACTGAAGATGAAACAATAGTTTCGAAACATGTTTACTATTTGAATTAAATTAAACTTATTAGTATTTTTCAAAAAAAGTTTATTATTTTTATTTATTTGAGAAATATGGAGAAATTCACCCTTTTACTATTATAGATAATACATTAAAGACTGAAAGTGATAGAGTAAAATGGTTTAGATAAAAAACATTGATAATCAACTCATAAGTTATATTCCATAAACGATTTGACCTTATCACTGGCTATTACCAACCTAGGCAACCAAAACTGATGAATTTTCAGAGTTTTGCGTTTCTAACACTGTTATAGGTAATAAGTTACCCCCTGAAGAAAATGGAGTGAAATAGTTTAGATAATAAATATTCGTAATCAACCTATAAATTATAATCCATAAAAGATTTGTCCCTAAAGTTGGTTATTACCAACTTAGAAAACAAAAGCTGACGAATTTTCAAAATTTTGCGTTTCTTGAACTATTATAAGTAACAAGTTACAGTCCGAAAATGATGGAGTGAAATGGTTTAGATAGAAAACATTAATAATCAACTCATAAATGATAATCCATAAAAGATTTGTCCCTATCCTTGGTTATTACCAACCTAAAAAACAGAAACTGACGGATTTCTAGGGTTTTGCGTTTCTAACACTGTTGTAAGTAATAAGTTACGGCCTGAAGATGATGGAGTGAAATAGTTTAGATGAAAAATATTCGTAATCAATCGATAAATTATAATCTATAATAGATTTGTCCCTATCGTTGGTCATTACCAACCTAGAAAACAAAAGCTGACGAAGTTTCAGAATTTTGCGTTTCTTACACTATTATAGGTAATAAGTTGCAGTCTGAAGATGATGGAATGAAATGGTTTAGATAGAAAACATTGATAATCAACCCATAAATTATAATCCATAAAAGATTTGTTCCTATCGTTGGTTATTACCAACCTAGAAAACAAAAACTGACGAATTTTCAGAATTTTTCGTTTCTTACACTATTATAGGTAATAAGTTACAGTTTGAAGATGATGGAGGGAAATAGTTTGGATGAAAAATATTCGTAATCTACCGATAAATTATAATCTATAATAGATTTGTCCTTAAAGTTGGTTATTACCAACCTAGAAAACAAAAACTAACGAAGTTTCAGAATTTTGCGTTTCTTACACTATTATAGGTAATAAGTTACAGTCAGAAGATGACGGAATGAAATGGTTTAGATAGAAAACATTGATAATCAACCCATAAATTATAATCCATAAAAGATTTGTCCCTATCGTTGGTTATTACCAACCTAGAAAACAAAAACTGACGAATTTTCAAAATTTTGCGTTTCTTACGCTATTATAGGTAATAAGTTGCAGACTGAAGATGATGGAGTGAAATAGTTTGGATGAAAAATATTCGTAATCAACCGATAAATTGTAATATATAATAGATTTGTCCTTAAAGTTGGTTATTACCAACTTAGAAAACAAAAGCTGACGAAGTTTCAGAATTTTGCGTTTCTTACACTATTATAGGTAATAAGTTACAGTCTGAAGATGATGGAATGAAATGGTTTAGATAGAAAACATTGATAATCAACCCATAAATTATAATCCATAAAAGATTTGTCCCTATCGTTGGTTATTACCAACCTAGAAAACAAAAACTGACGAATTTTCAGAATTTTGCATTTCTATCATTGTTATAGATAATAAGTTACGGCCTAAAGATGGTGGAGTGAAATGGTTTAGATGAAAAACATTCATAATCAACTCAAAAATTATAATCCATAAGAGATTTGTCCCTATCATTGGTTATTACCAACCTAGGGAACTAATATTGCAGAATTTTCAAAGTTTCGCGATTTTAACACTATTATAGGTAATAAATTAAAGACTGAAAGTGATGGAGTGAAATGTTTTAGATAAAAAATATTAAAATCAACTCATAAATTATAATCCATAAAAAAATATGTCCTTATCATTAGTTATTACCAACCTAGGAAACAAAAACTGATGAATTTACAAAATTTTCCATTTCTAGCATTATTGTAGATAATAAATTACGTCATAAAGATGATGGAGTGAAATAGTTTAGATGAAAAACAATCGTAATCTACTCAAAAACTATAATTCATAAGAAATTTGTCCCCGTCATTGTTTATTACCAACCTAGGGAACTAATATTGAAGAATTTTCAGCGTTTCGCGATTTTAACACTTTTATAGGTGGTAAATTAAAGACTGAAAGTGATGGAGTGAAATGATTTAGATAAAAAACATTAAAAATCAACTCATAAATTATAATCCATAAAAAATTTGTCCTTATCGTTGGTTATTTCTAACCTAGGAAACAAAATCCGATGAATTTTCAGAACTTTGCATTTCTAACATTATTATAGATAATAAGTTACGACCTAAAGATGATAGAGTGATATAGATTAGATGAAAAGCAATCATAATCAAATCAAAAACTATAATCCATAAGAGATTTATCCCCGTTATTGTTTATTACCAACCTACGGAACTAATATTGAAGAATTTTCATTAAAGACTAAAAGTGATCACTTCTTATTACCAACTGATAGAACTAAAATTGGCTAACTGACTAAAAATTTTATAATTTTTGCGTTCTTAACAAATTAAATAAATAAATTTAAACAAATTTCTTTTAGTATTAGTTTATTATANTTCAACACGCCTCAAAAGTAGTTTTGAAGCAGTTCTAAGCTTGGATAAAGTGTGAAGGAAGGTTCTAGATAATAAAATTTTTGTTCTCTCTTATTTGTTTCCTAAGGTAACTTGATCCGATTAAGATATACGAATTTTAACATTTTCTTTTATAATTCGAGAATGGTTGGAGATATCGAGATGCGGTTTTCACTAATATTTAGCAAATTTTATGGTGGTTAACGGTCTGCGAAGTAAATAGTACCGTTCCATTTAACTTTTTTTCAAAAACCACAAAAACATGTAACCGCTGCAGATAACGCCCTCTAGCTTATTTGTTTTAAACCAAGCGGGCTTACTGAAAATATCTTTTAAAAGACCATAAAATGCTTTTTCAAACAAGACCAAAGATATTCAAATCGGTTGAATGGTCCAGGAGATATTAAAATGTAAACATTTGAAAACGCATTGGCCTTCCCCTCCCTTATTATGAGAGATATGAGAAATATTGCAAAACAAAAACGATGCGGTATTATCCAAGCTACTAAATGATGGATCCATGCTTATAAGGATTTTTTTCCTAAACCTCTAGGCTTTATCGTTCTAGAGATACAGCCGCTCCGTACGTTTAACGGGACACCCTGTATATATGAGTTTTGCGTTTCTAACACTGTTATAGGTAATAAGTTACTCTCTGAAGATGATGGAGTGAATTAGTTTAGATGAAAAATATTCGTAATCAACCGATAAATTATAATTCATAAAAGATTTGTCCCTAATGTTGGTTATTACCAACCTAAGAAACAGAAACTGATATATTTCCAGGGTTTTGCATTTTTATCACTGTTATAGGTAATAAGTTACGGCTTGAAGGTGATGAAGTAAAATAGTTAAGATAAAAAACATTCATAATCAACTCAAAAATTATAATCGAGGAGAGATTTGTCCCTATTATTGGTTATTACCAACCTAGGAAAGAAAACCTGACGAATTTTCGAAGTTTAGTGTTTTTGACATGATTGTAGGTAACAAATTAAAGACTGAACGTGATGGAGTGAAATTGTTTTGATAAAAAACATTCATTGTCAAATCATATATTACAATTCATAAAAGATTTTTCCTTATCATTTCTTCTTAACAAATGAGAGAATTAAAATTGACCAACTAATTAAAAATTTTATAATTTTTGCGTTCTTAACAAATTAAATAAATAAATTTAAACAAATTTCTTTTAGAATTAGTTTATTATAAACATTACTTATTAAATTTTAGAAATAATCTCATAATAATTTGATTCATTTTCTTTCTAGAACCTCCCCTCACAAATCCGGAAGAAAAAACCAAAAGAATACAAAATCCGCGCATTCGTCGGATTCCTATTCATCGCAATCGTTTTCCTCGTCGGATTCGCTTACGTCCTATACCAACAAAAACTCCTCCAAAAAGCCTATTTCGACAAAATCAAATTCAACAAAGCAAAACGCGAAATCAAATTTTTCAACAACGACGGCGTCAACATCATCAAAGGAAACCTCGGCACCACGTTACCAAACAACAAAATATTCCCATGTTTACCCCAAAACACCCGCAACGACGACAGCATTTGCTTAGAATGGATGGACGGAGCCCGCCTTTACATCGATTTATTCCAAATGAACCCCGAAACACGTTGTTACAATTTCCAATGGATTTCTTTAAACGAAAAGGTGGAACCAACAGATTGTTTCGATTTAGTCCCCGGTGAATATTGGTACGGAGGGGGGCAAAATCAAGATGTATCTTGGCCATTAAATAAGTTAAATCACGATTTTGTCCCGTTTATAACCGGCAGTATTGAGAAACATCAATGGGGGAATGTTTTAAAGCGTTATTTTATTAATTCGCGGGGTGTTGCTATTTTTATAAGCGATTCAGCCCCTCTTTATATCTCGATTAAAAATTCAACGGGGTTAATAAAACAGTTTTGTTTGAAAGCGAAATACGACGATTTCGCTTATTTTAATAAAATAACTTCTTATCCTACGTTAAATTACAGCATTTGTACCGCCCCTAACACAACTATTTTGCACTCTAATTTAAGTAAGAAAGATAATTGGGATGGGTTAAAACCCTTTGAGGATGAGATAATTGATAGTTTATTAACCGAGCCGTTATGGGAGGTTCCCTCGACGTCGAAAAGCGAGTTTAATGAAGAAACTTTATCGACTTATACCCAAAATATAATGAATTTGGGTTTTTTGAAACAAGGGCATGTTTTGGTGAATGAATTTTGGCAGAAAGAAATTGGTGATTTTGCTTTGGATGTGGAGCGTTTTGCTAATTTTGAGAATATGATGGAGGCTTTACATCGGAGGGGGGTACGCTTGGTTGTTTCAATCCAGCCGTTTATTTCAACGGAGAGTTTGAATTTTGCTGAAACGGTTCGAAAGCGACTATTAATTTCTGAGAGAGGGAGTGATGGGAAAATTCCTGCTTTAACTCGGTATAAATCGCTTGAAAGTGCCGCAGTTTTGGATATAACGAATAAGAATACTTCGCCGTGGTTGATTGAGAAGTTAAAATTTTTAATGGAGAAGCACAAATTTAGCACTTTTTTCATTGATTTCGGCACTGCTTACAACATCCCTCATTATTATCAAACCGAGATGGATTTATTTAATCCTGATCAATACAAAACTTTATTTATAAACAGCTTACAAGACACCGTGAGTATTTTTGGGGTAAACAGCGCGGTTCAAGAACCCAAAGTCCCCATTTTTGTTTCATTACCCCCATTTCAATCGTCTTGGGAAGGATTACGCCGCGTTATCCCAACCGTTTTAACTTACGGGTTAATTGGGTATCATTATTTAATCCCCGGCGCTGTAGGAGGTGATTACGAAGCCTCTTTCACCACTAAAACAAAACAAAACGTCACTGGAATCAACATTGAGTTACCCGATAAAGAATTATACATGAGATGGTTGCAATTAGCTACTTTTTTGCCTGTTATGCGATTCACCTACTTACCTAGTTATTACAGCGATGAAAAAGTCTTGGAGATGGCTAAAGTTATGGCTTCGATACGACAAGTTACGGTGAGATTCTTTATTTAATACTTAAATAAATTGTATAGATAAGAAAAAATAAATAGCGTTAATAAAATCCAAGAAAACGTTGTTAAAATTGATACAAAAATGAATCCGATTACTTTAAGAGGTTGTTTTAAAATCATTTCTTTCTTTTAATTATGCCAAATTGAAGTTTAATTACATTTAAATCAAAGTCAAAAAATTAATTATTTTTTTAGATAACCCCGTTGTTAAAAAAATACGTTAAAGAAACTCTTCGTCATGGTTTGCCGTTAATTCGTCCATTATGGATGCTTCAACCGAACGATCCGGCTTGTCACGCGGTTTCCGATGAATTTGCAATTGGGGATGAGTTGATTGTCGCGCCCGTTTTGCATTCGGGGGCGCGTCAAAGAGAAGTTTATTTACCTGCGGGGGTTTGGATGGATGGGATTGATAGTAGTAAGCGAAAGGGAAATCGGTGGATTCACGATTATAAAGTGGAGGAGGATAAAATTGCGTATTTTAGGAAAATGCCTGATGATACGAGGTTGTAAAAAATAATTTTATAAAGTTAAGTAAATAGTAAGAGGAAAAATGTATTAATTTAATTGATTTTAATGTGATATCTATCTGTATTATATTTTTTTTGATTTAAAAATAAAAAATTTGTGTTGTCCGATTTCTATGACCTTTCATGACCTTTTTGGGTACGTTTTAAATCATGTACAGTTAATTAATTAATAACAAATTTTTCCCCATCATTGGTTATTACCAACCTAGGGCACTAAAACTTATGAATTTTTGGAGTTTTACGTTTTTGACATAATTATAGGTAATAAATTAAAGACTGAAAGTGATGGAATAAAGCTTCTTGGGAAAAAAACTTTAATAATCAACCCACACACCAGAATCCATAAAAGGTGTTCCCTTATCATTGGTTATTACGAACTTAGAGCATTAAAATTGACAAATTTTTGGAGTTTTACGTCTGAAACGTGATTGTAGGTATCAAATCAAAAACTGAAAGTGATACAGTGAAACTGTTGGCATAAAAACATTAACAATCAATCCATAAATGATAATTCATAAAAGGTTTTTCCCCATCATTGGTTATTATCAACCTAGGGCACTAAAACTTATGAATTTTTGGAGTTTTACGTTTTTGACATAATTATAGGTAATAAATTAAAGACTGAAAGTGATGGAATAAAGCTTCTTGGGAAAAATACATTAATAATCAACCCACACACCAGAATACATAAAAGGTGTTCCCTTATCATTGGTTATTACGAAGTTAGAGCATTAAAATTGACAAATTTTTGGAGTTTTACGTCTGAAACGTGATTGTAGGTAACAAATCAAAAACTGAAAGTGATACAGTGAAACTGTTGGTATAAAAACATTAACAATCAACTCATAAATGATAATCCATAAAAGGTTTTTCCCCATCATTGGTTATTACCAACCTAGGGCACTAAAACTTATGAATTTTTGGAGTTTTACGTTTTTGACATAATTATAGGTAATAAATTAAAGACTGAAAGTGATGGAATAAAGCTTCTTGGGAAAAAAACATTAATAATCAACCCACACACCAGAATCCATAAAAGGTGTTCCCTTATCATTGGTTATTACGAACTTAGAGCACTAAAATTGACAAATTTTTGGAGTTTTACGTCTGAAACGTGATTGTAGGTAACAAATCAATAACTGAAAGTGATATAGTGAAACTGTTGGCATAAAAACATTAACAATCAACCCATAAATGATAATCCATAAAAGGTTTTTCCCAATCATTGATCATTACCAACCTAGGGCACTAAAATTTAAGAATTTTTGGAGTTTTACGTTTTTGACATAATTATAGGTAATAAATTAAAGACTGAAAGTGATGGAATAAAGCTTCTTGGGAAAAAAGCATTAATAATCAACCCACACACCAGAATCCATAAAAGGTGTTCACTTATCATTCGTTATTACGAAGTTAGAGCATTAAAATTGACAAATTTTTGGAGTTTTACGTCTGAAACGTGATTGTAGGTAACAAATCAATAACTGAAAGTGATATAGTGAAACTGTTGGCATAAAAACATTAACAATCAACCCATAAATGATAATCCATAAAAGGTTTTTCCCCATCATTGGTTATTACCAACCTAGGGCACTAAAACTTATGAATTTTTGGAGTTTTACGTTTTTGACATAATTATAGGTAATAAATTAAAGACTGAAAGTGATGGAATAAAGCTTCTTGGGGAAAAAACATTAATAATCAACCCACACATCAGAATCCATAAAAGCTGTTCCCTTATCATTGGTTATTACGAACTTAGAGCATTAAAATTGATAAATTTTTGGAGTTTTACGTCTGAAACGTGATTGTAGGTAACAAATCAAAAACTGAAAGTGATACAGTGAAACTATTGGCATAAAAACATTAACAATCAACCCATAAATGATAATCCATAAAAGGTCTTTCCCCATCATTGGTTATTACCAACCTAGGGCACTAAAACTTATGAATTTTTGGACTTTTACGTTTTTGACATAATTATAGGTAATAAATTAAAGATTGAAAGTGATAGAATAAAGCTTCTTGGGGAAAAAACATTAATAATCAACCCACACACCAGAATCCATAAAAGGTGTTCCCTTATCATTGGTTATTACGAACTTAAACATTAAAATTGACAAATTTTTGGAGGTTTTCGTCTGAAACGTGATTGTAGGTAACAAATCAAAAACTGAAAGTGATACAGTGAAACTGTTGGCATAAAAACATTAACTATCAACCCATAAATGATAATCCATAAAAGGTTTTTCCCCATCATTGGTTATTACCAACCTAGGGCACTAAAACTTCTGAATTTTTGGAGTTTTACGTTTTTGACATAATTATAGGTAATAAATTAAAGACTGAAAGTGATGGAATAACGCTTCTTGGGGAAAAAACATTAATAATCAACTCACACACCAGAATCCATAAAAGGTGTTCCCTTATCATTGGTTATTACGAACTTAAGCATTAAAATTGACAAATTTTTGGAGTTTTACGTCTGAAACGTGATTGTAGGTATCAAATCAAAAACTGAAAGTGATACAGTGAAACTGTTGGCATAAAAACATTAACAATCAATCCATAAATGATAATTCATAAAAGGTTTTTCCCCATCATTGGTTATTATCAACCTAGGGCACTAAAACTTATGAATTTTTGGAGTTTTACGTTTTTGACATAATTATAGGTAATAAATTAAAGACTGAAAGTGATGGAATAAAGCTTCTTGGGGAAAAAACACTAATAATCAACCCATACACCAGAATCCATAAAAGATGTTCCCTTATCATTGGTTATTACAAACTTAAGTATTGAAATTGACAAATTTTTGAAGTTTTACGTCTGAAACTGTTGGCATAAAAACATTCACAATCATCCCATAAATGATAATCCATAAAAGGTTTTTCCCCATCATTGGTTATTACCAACCTAGGCCACTAAAACTTATGAATTTTTGGAGTGTTACGTTTTTGGTAATAAATTAAAGACTGAAAGTGATGGAATAAAGCTTCTTGGGGAAAAAACATTAATAATCAACTCACACACCAGAATCCATAAAAGGTGTTCCCTTATCATTGGTTATTACGAACGTAGAGCATTAAAATTGACAAATTTTTGGAGTTTTACGTCTGAAACGTGATTGTAGGTAACAAATAAAAAAGTGAAAGTGATACAGTGAAACTGTTGGCATAAAAACATTAACAATCATCCCATAAATGATAATCCATCAAAGGTTTTTTACCATCATTGGTTATTACCAACCTAGGGCACTAAAACTTATAAATTTTTGGAGTTTTACGTTTTTGACATAATTATAGGTAATAAATTAAAGACTGAAAGTGATGGAATAAAGCTTCTTGGGAAAAAAACTTTAATAATCAACCCACACACCAGAATCCATAAAAGGTGTTCCCTTATCATTGGTTATTACGAACTTAGAGCATTAAAATTGACAAATTTTTGGGGTTTTACGTCTGAAACGTGATTGTAGGTAACAAATCAAAAACTGAAAGTGATACAGTGAAACTGTTGGCATAAAAACATTAACAATCATCCCATAAATGATAATCCATAAAAGGTTTTTCCCCATCATTGGTTATTACCAACCTAGGCCACTAAAACTTATGAATTTTTGGAGTTTTACGTTTTTGACATAATTATGGGTAATAAATTAAAGACTGAAAGTGGTGGAATAAAACTGCTTGGAAAAAAACATTAATAACGCTAGTTTACAAAAAAAATCTTGAAGACTGTGATATTTTTTTTATAACGCAGAATGTTGTGCTGATTCTGAAACTGTCTTCAGGTTTTCTCCATCACGTCCAGTTTTTGAGATATACCCAAAAATGTGGAAAATCGTAAATTAAAAAACATAGTAACGGTTCATGTTCAGTATATTTTTTATTTTGCATAGTGTGCTTCTGTAGCTATATGGACATGAAAGTAGAGATCCAGATGAACATTTTGATGGCATAAATCGGACTCTCCGTTATTTTACTACACCCTAAAACAACACAACAATATCAAAGTTTTTGGCATTTTTTTATCAATTAATGTGACCATAACATTAGAATACCAAACTGTAAATGAGATATAGATTGCCCGCCATCCTTCTAGTCAAAGTTATACCGCAATTCGGATATACAAAGCTTGGTCGTCCCAATAATGTATTGTCCGCAAATAAAACAGAACGAATCAGGATTGTTCTTGCATTCAAAACTTCTGCTGCTGCATTTATCAACAAAACTTTTACATCACTTTGCTATTTTCTTAAACGAAAGATCACTGAGGTGTCTCAAGAAGAATTAAATGTTATGACAATATATTCTCCTTTTATACCAAAAAATACTTCAAAAAAGACTGTTTAGCAGAACAAGGTTCTAATATATAAAGAAGTGGAGTTATTAAAAAACACTTTTTCACAGAAAGTGATTGTTTTCTAACAATGAGAATTTCTTTTGCCAAAAAAGGTCTAACAGGTAAACGCGCGCGTTCTTAAAAACTTTTTCCAAGAATGTTATTGTATGTTGAATTTCAAAAATAATAATATTTGTTTCAGTGAATTTAGTGTAACTTAATATAACTTAGTGCCTGGAAGAGTTAAAACACCACTTTATTAAAAAAAAATTGTTCGTAATAATGTTTCAATAATACAGTGAAAATGGCAAAAAATGAAAATTTGCACGATTGTCGTAAATTAACGATATCTTCGGTAAAATACGTTCGACCATGGTGTCCAATGCTTCGAAATTTAGAGAATTAAATGTTCTACAGGATAGAATAGCTAACTTTTTTGTTCATATATAATTCTTTTTCGTTTCGGTGCGATTATGTGATATAAAAATGGGAAAAATTTGATTTTGTTGAGTTGTTTTAGGCTGTAGCAAAATAACGGAGTCCGATTTATGCCATAAATACCTCAAAATGTTCGTCTGGATCTCTACTTTCATGTACATATAGCTACAGAAGCACACTATGTAAATGGAAAAATAATTTTCCACATTTTTGGGTATGGTGTTTAAACTAGTATAATCTAGAAAATTTCATTTTTTTCAA